CCCATTTGCAACACCACAGTGCTCTTTTCAGGCCTGACAGTTTCTCAAAGGTTGAAGTCTCTTAGAGAAGCATGGAGAGTGTGGGGGAATGGGCACGCTGGCCATGCTTTACTGCAGCTGTTCTTGTGCCAAATCCCTGGGCTCTACACAGGATGGAATCCTGTTTCTTCTACCTCTCTGAACAACTCTGTCAGCTCAAGTGTCTGTGGGAGTCATGGGCTCTCTTGCTGCCAGGATTTTTGGAGGTTCCTGGTAAGAACAGACCACTCCTCACATGTTTAACTCACTCCTTCCCTAGGAGTTGTGGGCCAGGAATGAACCCCAGTACTCAGCATCCCCTTACAGGGTTCCCAGCTTCCTCCCCAAGTTCAGCCCAGTGTCTGCATCCTCTCTTTATCCACTTTCAATGCTTTCCTGCTAAAGATCTGCTCAGAGTTTTCTAGTCTTTCCCATGTCCTGGTCTCTCAGTGTAAGATGTTCCTCCTGGCTATATCTAGTCAGCCATCTGGAGTCTCTTTCTACTTTCATTTTGGATTCGTTTTTAGTCTTTTCAAAATCTGTTATTAGAAATATTTGTGCATGTATATTTGTCAAAATATATGTATTCTAAATTTACTTCATATTTATTTCTATTCATTCATTCATTTATTCACACAATATTTCTTTCTGAGGCTTGCTGAGATTTACCTTCTTAAATAATTTTTTTAATTATTACATTAATTGTATATATGTATAAAGTACACATGATATTTTGATACAAACATGCAATGTGTAATAACAGTAGTTGGGATATATATCACCTCAACCATTTATCATTTCTTTGTGTTGGGAAAATTGTAATTCCATTCTTTTAGTTATTTTGGAATATACAGTAAATTATTGTTAACTACAGTCACCCTATTGTGCTATCCAACATTAGATGTTATTCCTTTTATATAATTGCTTTCTTGTACCCATTTCCCATCGCCTCTTCATCTCTCCACTTCCCACTACTCTTCTCAGCCTCTGGTAGCCATCAGTATTCTCTGTCTCCATGAGTTCAATTTCTTTTGTTTTTAGTTCCCGTATGTGTATTCACTCAAGATTTATTGATTGTCCATTTTGATGGATAGGTTTGCATACAGATTCTGGGAGTAAGCATAATATAACTAGGAATTTTCTTGAAGTGTCTGCTTTTTGTACGGGATAGATAGATAGATGGATATATAGATAGATAGATAAATAGATAATGACTTCATCTTCTTGATAACAGTGGGGAGTTTTCAGTGACCACTTCATAATATTTTCCATGATACTACAAGCTGATCATTTTAAAGTTATTGGTGACATACAAGCTTCGCAAATTAAATAACCACTAAGATTGTAAATATTTGAACTTAGTTGAGAATTGTAACCAAATAAAATGCCTATCAGAGCATGGTACATGTGTTTAGAGATTCAGTTTATTTCAACAAGCATTTATTGAATACTACCATTGTGTTAGGGCTGAGGATATGCAGCTTTAAAAAAAGGATGCTGCCTTTGAACAACTTACTACCTGGGTGCAGGAAAAGAGTGAAAGGAGGAGTAAGCCAGATCCTAGAGTTGAGAGGCAGTTGTAAGGAGAAATGAGGTACCCTTGGGATTTCTGCTTCTCCTTGGAATGTCCTTGTGATAATACCTAAGAATCAAGGTAATGCATAGAAGGTCAGAAAAGTTTGATGTCTTATAAGACACAAACACATTAATTCATTTAACAGCTAAAGAGGAAATGGTACTGGCTATGATGATAGAGGTAACTTGTAACTAAGTAATAAACTAAAGTAGTCAGGCTTGATGGAAGATGAAAACCAAGACCTTTGTTTAAGTAACATACTTTACTGGCAACTAAGCACAATGTATATGGCCTATGGGAGCTATTGGAGCAGACTTTTCTCATGTCTCTCAAGTTAATATTTATCCTTCCATATCCTTCAGTGCATTTTTTGCCTTGGTTTCAACCCTGAGATGAAAGAGTCATAGGGTCCAGGGTACAGAATTCCTTTTCAACTAGTTTGGACAAGGTATGCAGCTTCTAAGATCCTTATACAAGTCATCTGTAAAATGAGTATAATAGTTCTTACTCTACAAAGTTTTTGAAAATATTTTCAGTTGTTCATTAAAAATGCTTAATCTAGTGACTGTTCTACATTGGATGATAAAAAAATGGTAAACCTGTTTGTTGTACTTTACTATGTCAGCTTTCTGTGGGTGAGATATTTGCTGTTTTTGCTTTGTTTGTATTTGTGCTTAGACTATTTGCAGTTGTACTTTAAATATTAAAAAGAGCTATTTTTAAAGCTTTATTTGGCCCGTAAGTTTGGAAATATGCATTTATATTTACTTACTATAATTTAATGGTTGTCATTTTTTCGTAACTCGTAAACAGTATAGTTTAGCTAAATAGCCTTAGGTAGTGGTATTCAACCCAGGTGGCATATTAGAATCATCTGGAGAGCTTTCAAAAATGTCAGTGTTCAAGCACTACCCCAAGTCACTGAATTCAGGATTTCTCATTGTGGACCTAATTATTATCATTTTGTAGCAGCTCTTCATCTCTGAAATGGCAATTATAACATCTACTCAGCCTGTCAGAGTAGATCTGATGATTACAATAAAAATATATTCAAAAGCAATTAATAATGAGATAATTAAAATTAAAATGTAAGGTAATATTATAACATTGTAGAAGTATTTACCCTGTTCTTGAGGGGTTTAACATTTACTTAGAGAAATAGGTTAAAACATGAAAAATTCAAGGTAACATGTTATACACTAAATGGAAGTAACAGAATAATTATGCTAGGAATCCCATCCTAATCACGCTGTGTAGGCAATCTTTAATGAATGTGAGGCTGTGACCTTCTCTAGTGCTTCTCAAATATTTATACCTCAGATTTTTTTTGATGATAAAAGGACAAGAACAATAAACTTTCTGGCACTGGAAAGGGTTATTAGGAGGGAAGTCTTATCTAGGGTGGTTGCCTAAAACCGCTTACCTCAAATGTTCATTTAATCATCGAGTCATTCAACAAAATATTTATTACCTAACACGTGCCTTTTGGACATTTTCTTTTTAAAGGCAATTTAGAAGCAGGATAAAGTAGTCATTAGTAGTATAGATGCTGGGGCCAGAATATCTGGGCTTGAATTCTGGTTCCACAACTTTCTGATTGTATTATGTTCTGTAAATTCTTAACTTCACGATGACTGAATATTCTTTCTTTTTTAAGAAGGAAGATAATATTGTTAATTACTTCCTAGGGTTGAAGAAAGAGGTTTAATGTATTAATAAGTGTAAATTGATCCACACCATGTGTGGCTAATAAGAGTTAGGTGTACTTTTGTTAACATCTCTGCATTTTTATTCCATTATATTCTTCATTTGTTTTAATGTGCACATAATGCATGTAGTGTGAATATATGAAGACAATGCTTTAAGTTAGCTATTACCAAATGAAAATGGTTCTCTAAAGAATGGATATATATTCTTCCCAAGACATAGTCAAATATATGAATTTCAGTTTTTTAAGGTACTATCTTATTTAAGATTGGTCATTTTCAACAACATGGGTTATCTAGAGGATATCATGCTAAGTGAAATAAGCCAGGCACAGAAAGACAAATTCTGTATGATTTCACTTACATTTTCAGTCTAAAAGATTTAAAATCATAGAAATAGATAGTAGAAGCGTGGTTACCAGAGGGTGGGGATGGGAGCGCACAGAGAGCACAAAGTTTCAGTTAGCAGAAATAGACCTGGTAATCGATGGCACAACATGGTGACTATAGTTAAAAATAATGTATTGTATTTTTCAAAATAGCTAAAAGTATATTTTATTCTTCTTTTTTATTTTTTGAGACAGGGTCTTGACCTGTCACCAAGGTTGGCCTGCAGTGGCATGAACATGACTCACTGCAGCCTCAAGCTCCTGGGCTCAAGCAATCCTCCTGCCACAGTCTCCAGAGTAACTGGTACCTACAGGTGCATTCCACCATGCCCAACTAAGAGTGGATTTTAAATATTCTAACCACATGTCTTGCATCTGTAGTCCCAGCTACTCAGAAGGCTGAGGCAGGAGGATAGCTTGATCCTTGGAGGGTAAGGCTGCAGCAAGCTCTGACGGCACCACTGCACTCAGCCTGGGAGAAAAAGCAAGACCCTGCCTCAAATAATAAATAAATGAATAAAATAAATCAATATTTTTACTACAAAGAAATGATAAGTGTTTTGGGAGATGAGTATATAAATTAGCCTGATTCGATCATTTCACAATGCATGCATGTATTAAAACATCATATTGTACCGATACAGATATACAATTATTTGTCAATTAAAAATAAAATAATTTTTTAAAAAAAGATTAGAAAGAGGGTTAGAGACATAATCAGGGAAGTACAGAAAGCAATGAGCACATGTATACTGGTGAGTTCTCTCCTAGTTTCTGATCAGAAAAGTAATCTAGAAGAGTCATGCTTACTGTGAGACCAGAAAGATGAGTAGAGTTAGTGATAAGCAGAGCTTGTAGAAAAGCTGTGTTGTGGGTTTTGTGGAGACTGAGTGTTCCAGAGAGAGAGAACACACATGGAAAAGCTTCATTTAAAACTGTGACCTTATCAGTAAACAAAGGGTCCGACACCGCATGAATGTGGAGTAAACTCTCTAAGGCAACAGCCAGAACAGTGGGGTAGGAGCAGAACAAGAAATGGAATTTCTGCCAGAACAGTGTTTTCAGATGATTGTAACAGTAGCATAAATGAGAGGAGTACTGAGTTTTATGGCAGCGCAGAACAGAAAGAAACTAGTTGTTCCTTGGGGGTTTTAGTGAGAGGAAAGGGAAAGACTATTCAAGGCTCTTGAAGGAGTTGGTATGTGGCATGATTCTTAAAAGAGCAATAAGATGAGACCTGTAGCTTGTAGAGCCAGATCAGGGCTTTACGACTGTCTTTACCTGTGTGCTGACCTTGCCTTATTTGTTCAGCTAGGATTGTGTCTAAGCAGAGCCTCCGCATCTGTTCTTAACCTCAACTGCAGCCTTATCCTTTTACCCATGTGCCGAACGCTCTTGGCTTACCTCCGGGGGTCACAGAAGGTAAGAAAAAAAAGTCCTAGTTACAAGTTCCAGCATAAAAATCAAGTGTAACAGTCACATACTAGTTTGTTTAGTTTTCATAGTCTGACTTTTGGCTGGAGTAATTTATTCTAAGATGGTGGTGAAAGCTATGTCATCTGTCAAGATGATCTGTGAGCTACTCTGCAACACCAGATAAGGGCAGAAGATAATAGTAATATTGTTAACAGGGGATTTCCAGTGCTGTGCTTAGTATTTCACATATATACTGGTAAATTCTTACAGGGATTTTGCAATTAGGTATTGTTAATTTCATTTCATGCACAAGAAACCTCAGGCATAGAGACTTTGAGTAACTTTGAGACTAGTGAATGACAGAGTTAAGTTGAATGCTAATTTAAGTTCTTTTCATTATATCATGTCTCATTGAGATTCTGTATTTTACTTAGCTAAATCCAGGTGAGCAGACTAGAGTCCTTTGGACTCTGAGCAATACATGAAATGATTGCTGGTGTTGGCAAAAACGTATCTCTGCTTAACATACATACTCGTTCTGAAATGTGTAATTGGCTTGAGAAACGTCTTGATTAAATTGTGATGTCATGTGTGATACATAATGCTGTAAAATGAAGTATATAAGAAAACAGAAAAAACAGCCATTCTTTTGAAACTTCACAAAAATTCTTTTTCATCTTTGACTATTGTTGTGTATATGTGTAAGTGTGTGTGTATGAATGCTGATTCTTCCTCCCTAGGGTTCACTGAGTAAGGCTCTGCTGGTTGTATATTGATATTTTAAAAGGAGTTGTTAACTTGAGATCACTTTGATGTTCTATGAATTTAACGTGTGCAGATTTACTCTAGGAAAACCTTTCAACCTCTTTATGTAATTACGTTTAGAAACGCTCTCCTTTTAATGCAGTAATCTGTGAAAATAACTCTTTCTCTAGGTTGTCTACCATTTAAACTGCTAGGTTTTGATCCCCGTGGCTGGCCATTGCCTTGGCTTGGAGAAAGAGAAGTGGCAGGGAATGAAGAATTCCCACATAAGCCTCTCAGTATTTAATAATTCTTAAAGAATTGTCCCGAGTGTGAAACAGTGATTCAAAGGTGCTTGACATTTTATTTTGTTATAAGATCAAGCAGGCGTTTTAAACTATAGATGTTGCTTCATTTAAAAATAATCTTATTTTTTTACCATAAAAGGAAATCATGAGTATTTTAAAACTTAAACATTCTAGAAATATGCAAAATGATCAGAGAAAGTTTTCTCTAATCTTATTCTGCCAGAACAACCACTGATGACAATTTGGGGTAAGTGCCTGCAGATACATTAACATACAATGCCATTAATGTTGATCACTATAAGATCACAGTGTGGTTTATGTTTTGTAACTTTTTTAACCTAACAATGTGTCTTGAACATCTTTTCACATCAACAATATAACCTTCTCACATATATTTTTTAATGGTTCAGGTGTTCTGTTAGCTAGATAGATCAAAATTAATCTCACCAATTTTTGATTAATAGGCTTCTGCCATATTTTAATAATTTTGACATAATGAACAATGCTATACTGAAAAACTTTGTAAAAAATATATGCATATATAAGATATACAGATATCTCATTTGTTGCATTATTTTTACCATATTAAATGATTTTTGCTTAGGTTCCAAGCAGGAGAACCAGGAGATTGTTGGATAAAAGCAGAACATTCCATATTACCTGTGGTGTTACTATCTGTATTTTCTCAGGTGAGAAAGCCACAAGATATTAAATAATTTGCTAGAATTAGACACTTAAAATGTAAACATTCCAGAAATATGCAGAATGGTCAGAGAAAGTTTTCCTGAATCTTATTCTTCCAGAACAACCAGTGATGACAATTTGGGGTAACTGCCTGCAGATATATGAACATAAAATGTCATTAATGTTGAACAGCATAAGAGTGTCATGTGGTTTGTGTTTTAAACCACACGTAAAATTTTAGCAGGAGTGGCTGCGGGAAACGGATTTCTCGGACAGCGAATACAGGAGGAAGGAGTTTATTCGGCTGGGAGCAAGGTGGCATACTTGCCTAACAGCCAAGCTCCCCTAACAAAGGAAGGTTCCTTCTTTATATAGGCTTATATTTCAGGTGTTACATGTGGAAGAATCTTAGGTTTATAGCTTAATGTATGAAAAGGATCTCAGTTTACAGTCTTAGGAATTACATATGAAAAGGGTTTCAGTTTACAGTCTTAGGGATTACATATGAAAGGGTTTCAGGTTACGGTCTCGGGAATCACATATGAAAAGGGCTTCGGTTTACAGTCTTAGGAATGAAAAGGAGAAGTTGATCTGAGATGACTGGGTCTCCCTCTTCAAAATTATACATAGAAAATGTGTGCTTTTATTGTTCTGTATGTTTTTTGCTATTAGCAATTTAAGATTTTCTTATTAAATAGCTTAGTAGTTATTTTCCATGTATTTAAAGAGGGTTGTCTACAGGGAACTACAGAAAATGGATGTGTCTTATAATTTTTACATCATGATATCCAAAAGTTGGCCCCTAAGCTTATAATGACTGTTTCCTTAAAGTAAGTAATTTTATTTAGAAATACTGGAACAAACAGACTAAAAGTTTTCAAGCTCTGAAAGTGATGATATAATATGAGTTGAAATGCATGAACATTATTTATTTATTTATTTATTTATTTATTTATTTATTTTGAAACAGGATCTGGCACTGTCACCTAGGCTGGCGTGCAGTGACACAATCTTAGCTCACTGCAACCTCCACTTCCCAGGCTCAAGCCATCCTCCCACCTGAGCCTCCCGAGTAGCTGGAATTATAGGCGTGTGCCACCACACTTGGCTTATTTTTGTATTTTTTGTAGAGATGGGCTTTTGTGATGTTGCCCAGGCTAGTCTTGAACTTTTGACCCCAAGCAATTTGCCTGCCTCAGCCTCCCAAAGCACTGTGATCACTGGCAGGAGCCACTGTGCCTGGCCACATGAATGAAAATTAGAATGTAAAATACTCATTAGTAGATTAGGATTCCATCCCAAATTATATGTGATTAATGTTTCTTTGGTATTAATGCTTGGTAGGAAAACAAATGTCAAAATTTGTGAAGCTTTATCCTGCTCTTTTCCATGTTAACAAATAAAGCAATGATCTTTTTGTTATTGTAAGTCCTTTTAAAATACATTTTGATCCTGAGCTTTTAGATGATCCTTTTTAAATTTTTGAAACAGAAAAAAATAAACATTGTGATTAAATACATGGACTCCTCAGAGCTGCCCTATATATTTTATATTCTATTCCCAGCTGCCCTTCTATTTTAAGTTGTGATGTTACCTTTCTGATCCTCAATATGTTGTTGTTGCTGCTGCTGTTGTTGTTTTTAACTGTAAAATGGATTGACAACAGGACTTGCCTGATAGATTTAAGGCTAAAATGAGAAATGAATAGACATTCTTAGCACAGAATTACTAATTGTAATTTACAATCGCAAGGGTTAATTATTTCAGTGCATAGCACCTGGTGTTTTCACCTGGCCATTATTTGATGACATAGCTGTTTTGATAGTAGGGCCATTTTGATTCAGGAATGTTTCGATACAGCTATTGCCAAGAAATCATTATACTTTTAGCTTTGTAAAAAATTGCCAAGCATTGTCTAAACAGATACCTTCACTGATTTATCCCTAAATATCTTCCAGTTGGTAGTCCCACCTCTGAGGTAATGGGAAGAGACTCTGGTATGGTATTTGCACTTCAGTGAGGATGAGATTCAGACCAAGGGTGTGGTAAGTGTTAGAGATAGATTAGGGAGAGTGAGGGTGAAAGGTCAGAAGTGGAGGATGATCAAGAAACCAGCATATTCATGACTCAATTTGTCCTAAACTGTAATCATGTCCAAGAATTCTGGTTCAATTGGAGAACAATGAAGAGACTGAGTTAGCATGAGCTTGTGTTCCAGAGGGTTTGCATTCTGCCAGTCACTAGTTGTCTGACTTTGGCTAAGTTACCCTTCTTTACCTCAGTTTTCTTATCTGGCAAATAAGGATAACTCTATCTACCACACTGTTTTGTTTTGAGAATCAAAGGAGAAAATCTATGCAAAGTGCTTGGTTTAGTTGCTTCCTTACTGCCTAAAATTATGAGCTCTAAATTCTTTTGACCTGAGAGGTCCTTTAAAAAGATGAATATATCCCTAAATGATATATATATCCCTAAATGTCTATAGCTGTTACCAATGACATTTTTTTTTTCAGAGACATTCAGAAAGAATAGTAATTCTTCTATAGATGACTCTGTATTTTTTAGCCATAGAGCATGTAGTTAATATATAAACTTTTAATTTAAAATCAAAGGATTATTTTACTATACATTTGGGTATTGATGAAGCCATATGACACAGACAGTTTTGTTTAAATAGTATTTTAAACCTGTGCTATAGTTGTGTCATACCTAGACACCCTTTGTTTTACTTCTTTGGAAACTTATCCTTGAATGTTAGTTAACTCATTCTTGCTTCCTGTCCATTTTTTTCTCTTAAAAATGTTTTTAAAGACTTTTTTTTTTTAAAGAGCAAATTTAGGTTGACTGCAAAATTGAAAGAAAAATATAAAGAGTTTTCATATATCATTTGTCCCTACACATGTACAACCTCCCCCCATTATCAACATCCCCTGCCAGAGTGGTACAGTTTTTTTAATCAATAAACTTACATTAATTGACATATCATTATCACCTTAGTCCAAGCTTTACATCAGGGTTCACACTTATTGCTATACTATCTATGAGTTGGGACAAATGTGTAACGACCTATACCCACCATTATTGTATGATGCAGTATAGTTCACTGCCCTAAAAATCCTCTTTGCTCTGCCTTTTTATCTTTTCTTTCCCACTAACCCCTGACAACCACTGATTTTTTTTTTTTACTGTCTCCATAATTCTACCTTTTCTAGAATGTGATATAGTTCGAATAATACAGTATGTAGCCTTTTGAGATTGGCTTATTTCACTTATTAATATGAATTTAAGTTTCCTTTGTGACTTTTTATGGCTTAAGAGTTCATTTCTTTATAGTGGTGAATAGCATTCCCTTGTCTGGATGTACCACAGTTTATTTATCTATTCACCTATTGAAAGACATCTTGGTTGCTTTCAGATTTTGGCAATTCTGAATAAAGCTGCTGTAAATATTCACGTACATGTTTTTGTGTGGGCATACATTTTTAGCTCCTTTGGGTAAATATCAAAGAATGTGATTGTGAGCTCATGTGGTAAGAGTGCGGGTAGTTTCTAAGAAACCACCAAACTCACTTCCAATGTGGTGGTACCATTTTTTGAATCCCCCACCTGCAATGAATGAGAGTTTCTGTTGTTCTACAATCTCACCAACATTTGGTGTTATCAGAATTGTGGATTTTGGTCATTCTAATAGGTACATAGTGGTAACTTGTCATTTTAATTTGCATTTCTCTGATGGCATATAATGTGGCTCATCTTTTCGTATGCTTGTTTGCCATCTACATATCTTCTTTGGTAAGGGATCTATTAAGATCTTTGGCCCATTTTTAGATTGGGTTGTTTGTTGTCCTATTGTTGAATTTTAAGTGTTCTTTGCATATTTTGGATAACAATCCTTTATTGATATGTCTTTTGCAAATGCTTTTTCTCAATCTGTGGCTTGTCTTCTCATGTGTTTACAATATATTTTGCAAAGCAGAAACTTTCAAAGTCCAGCTTATTAATTCTTTCTTTCATGGATCATGTCTTTGGCATTGTATCTAAAAAGTCATCACCAAACCCAAGGTCATATAGACTTTTTTGTGCTTCTTTTAAGGAGCTTTATAGTTTTGCATTTTACTTTTGGATCTGTGATTCATTTTGAATTAATTTTTGTGAGGGCTGTAAAGTCTATGTCTAGGTTGATTTATTTAAATGTGAATGTTCCCTTGTTTCAGCTCCATTTGTGACAAAGTCATTTTCTTCTTTGTATTGCTTTTTCTCTTTTGTCAAAGATCATTTGACTGTATTTATGTGGGTGGATTTCTGGGCTCTCCATTCTGTTTCATTAATCTATTTTTCTTTTACTTTGCTAAGACTATATATTCTTGTTTACTATAACTTTATAATAAGTTCTGACTCTTCCTCCACCTCTAATTTGATTACTTGAAGGACCTTATAAGTCATGTAAATAACTCTTAGGCATTTTAGCATTCTAGTCCTCTCTCATTTTCATTGTTTTTCGTATTTTAGAACTCTAAGCCCTCTGCATCTCGTATTATGGGTTGTGGAAAGTTACAGTTTTCTAGATTCCAGGCTATGTCTTCTTTTGAACCACCATACTCCATATATTGTGAACTGAAATGGTTTACTAAACAATTTCAGATCACTTATCTCATTAAGTCTTTTGTTTCTGTCACCATCATTTTATAGAGAAGTAAATTAAGGGCCCTGAGAGGCAAGTAATATGACCAAGATCACAAATTTTCCAGTGAGTTACCTGTTGTACTTTTCAATGTATTAAAATGTGCTGTTAATTCACACCTTATTTTGCTTACAAGCAAAGATTGGGCAAGGGGGAGGTTGTGATGGGCCCATGCACATCCCACTTTCTTCTTCCTTAGCCAGCCTCTGCAAGATAATTTTTATTACCCTGGCTTTGCCAAAATGTTTGTCTTCACATCTCTAGTAATTTCCTAACACTCCTGTTTTTCATATGAGCTAGCACTCTGTTTACTATGATTATTATTTTCCTGAATTTTGTCCCTTGAAGTGATTCCCAACACTTTTTCTATTGGGTTAAAAATATTATGATTTAAATCTCTGGATTGTAAAATATTTCTACTGGTTGAAAGTCTTTCAGTGGGCCTATAATTTACCTTGTGGGACAGGGAACTATGCAAGATATATATTAATAGCAGGTTCGGAGCTATGGAAGACGTGAAAGATATGGAATACCTAAAATATCCTGCTTGAGTAAATAAATAAATAATCATATCATTAGACACACATTTATGTAAATACGTGTGTGTGTGTGTGTGTGTGTGTGTGTGTTTTGAGGGGAGGATATGTGTGTATGTCTTGGGGGAGGGGATGTGTGTGTGCATATGTGTGTTTGGGGGGAAGGTAAGTGTGTGTTTTGGGAGGAGGATCTGTTGAGGGAGGATGTGTGTGTGTGTGTGTGTGTGTGTGTGTGTGTGTTGAGGGGGAGGACATGTGTGTGTATATGTTTTTTCTTATTGCTGACTTACTTTACAGCCTTTGAAAATTTGGTAAAGTATTATTAAGTTTTTTGTTTCTTTAAAACTTCACCTTTCAATGTATGATTGCATTGCCCATATAGCTGTCAAAGCTTGACCCTGTATTTACTTATAGAGAGGAAGAACAGAGTCCTTGACATACAGCATGTATGAAAATCCCACTAACTTGCTCCTGGTGCAATTCTGTAGGCGTGCACGTGGCTGCCCATCTGGTGAATGCCCTCAGCTTCTCAGTGAATTACAGTGAAGATTTTGTTGAACTGAATGCAGCAAGATACCGAGATGAGGTGGGTGGTCTCTGTCTTCCCATTTTCCTTTCATTTGTCATGAGATGACTGATGAGGGTCTGTGATTTTCGCTGAAAATTTGTACCTACTTCTTTTGAGTGCTTTTAAAATGCAGTTGTCAAGTTGAGTTTTATTTCTTTTCAATAGAAAATATAAGTAATTACTATTTCATAGTCTCTCCTGCTGAAAGTAGGAGTTGGTAGAACGTCTACTTTCTATATTCTGCAATGTTCAGATGGTTGCCACTCAGGTCTGCCTCTGACTCCCAGCAGCTTTTGTCTAATTCCTGTCATTTAGCTGAGAATGTCGACAGTGCCATTACAAGGAAAAAATACTTTATAACTAACATACGGGGTTTGGGGGAAAAGGGAAGAAAAGTAGATTGATTATTTGTGAATCCTGGATAAATCAGTTTATTTGACTTAACAAATATTAGTGAGTTTTCATGATTCTTTCATTTAAAAACTTCCTCAAATTGGTGATGTTGAATTGAATTCTGTAGCAGGCAATATCTGACATAGAGTGTTTCTCTCCGTGTGAAGCCATCCGTGAAATGAAATTATATGTGCAAGGTGCAGCCCAGGGCCTGACGAACAGCACATGCTCAGCCCAGTTAGGTCTCTGTTGCTTGATGCTTTCATACAGTCCTCAGGCTGCCTTTGCTTCACAATGCCAAGACTGCATCCAAACCAAACTGCTCTGTCCCATTTAATCAGCATCCCCTACCTTTATTCTCCTGTTCTGCAGACTAAGTTTGGTAGTGACTTATTCAGATTTTTTCCCATCTTCCCCACACCTTTTTGTCCTCCACAGGTCACCAGAGTTTTCTAGATTTAATATTGTTGTGATCGTGTGCTTGACCTCCTCTCAAAATAAGGAAAAAGTAACAACAAACAAACACGGAAACAAATCACAAAACCAACATAGCGAGCAACCTTTCATATAGCCCTTGCCTCTATGGGTATTTTTAAAAATACCAATATGATCTAATTGGTCTGGGTTGGGAGGCAGGCATTGGTATTTTCTGAAAGCTTACCAGGTGTGTAGAGTGAATCCAGCACCGAGAACCACTGAAAAATTTCAACTCCTTGTCAGGCCAGTGACAGCTTTTCACATGTAAAGATTTCAGACCCAGCCTTGACTTCTCCCTGTCTCATTCCCTCCCGCTTCCCTCTCTTCTGCTGCCCTCTGCTCAAATCACTAGCTACTTGTTTCCTGCCCCTGTTATAATATTTTCCTTGATTTTCTTTTCCTTCTTTTTGTCTCTTTTCAGAATTCATGTCATTAATAACTTCAGTGGTTTTCTCATTTGGTTAGAATATGCTTTTGCTGAAGCTCCAGTATTTTTAGTGATTTCAAGGTTTTCAGTTATTAAATTTATTTTCTTTGAAAAGTTATACATGCGCAATATAAAATATTTTATAACTCTCAATAAATGAAGTTAAAAGTGAAAGCTTCTCCTCCAAAACAAGCCACAGTTTCTTATATATTTTTCTGATGCTTTGAGTGGCATTTTATGATATATATTCCTTGGCAATTTGCTTGTTTCTACAAATATACGTATTATGCCTTACTGTATCAAAATGTCTTGGTCTTTCTCATTCTCTCCATATCACAGGGCTAAAATTTATTTTTAGTCTTTTTCTTATTCAGACATTATGTTGATTCTAAGGTTTTGTTATGAACCACGCTCCAGTAAATGTATTTCTTTGTCCACTTCTGCTACACAGATCCATAGTTGTAGAATTTTGGTTTAAAAAGTTGCACATTTTTAGTTTTGATGGACAGTGCCAAATTCCTTTTTATAAAGTCTTCTCCTGTTTCCACACTTCTAACCAATATCAAAATGCCTATTTTTACAACTCATCTCTGTTCTTCTTTTCCCAATCTGATGGATGAAAATGGCAAATCATTGTTTTAAGTTAATGTTTCCCTGCCTTTACTTTCTTCTTTTATTCCTTCCTTCATGTCTCTCTTTATTCTTTTTTTCCCTCTTTTTAATAAATATGTATTTAGCATCTAATAGGTACAAGGCAATGCATTAGATATAGATGAAAATAAAAGTGTGTATATATAATTATATATATTTAAATATATAAACAAATATGGCACATACATTATGCATATGTTATATATTATATATAGTGATTATATATTTTATATATATATATATATATATATATATACACACACATACATAATCAACACATATGTTATTTTGTGAACTGGCTTTGAAAAAGATGGTTTGTGCCATATACCCTATTGTTCTTGTTTTATGCTTTTACTTTGCATGGAAGGGTTCATCTTCCAGTTTGTGATTACTGCACTTTCTTGATAGCTCAGCTAAGCCTCATCTTGCCACTGTGAAACCGTCTCTCACTCTCATGTTTCATTTTCTTTCTCTAGCAATATTAATTGTTCCATCTTCTGGGTTTCTATAGGTGTTTATTCACATTTTTAGCCTTATACTTTGTTCAGCTCATATTATATTTTTATGGGTTGTTTATGTGTTCCGTTTCCCTAGATCACCCTATAGCCATGTTTCTAATAGTTGGAATAGAAGTCAATTGAGTTAAGCCAGGTGAGGATCTATTCCTGGGCAAGTGGTCCTTATTCAAAGACCCCAAAATGACACTATATAAATGGTTTCCTTCTTAGTATATAGTCTGGCCTGACCCCAGATTCATTGAAGGCACAAGGAAAGGAATTCAAAAGCTTGTGAAATATTAAACACCATGCAAATAAAAGTAAATCCACAAATCTAGTGGGGATGGGTTTTCCAGAAGGTAGAAGGGAATTGACTATAACCCATTAGAGCACAAGAGATATAGTTTAAGGGAAACTGTACAATATTATAACAGTATTAATGTTTCATATTTCCAAGAGCAGAAACTGATCTTTATTTGAGTATTCTCATCACTTTTCACTATATTTGAAACATGGAAAGTTCTCAATTAGTCATCTTTGTACTGAGCTTACAATGTGAAAATGCCCTACATATTTTATTGGTTTTAATTCTGTCTTCACATCTTGTGATGCAGGTTCACAGTTATGGTAGACGGAGTATATACTAATACTTTAACATCATAACTAAGATGTTGAGTCTCAAAATGGCCAAAGATGGGCTTAAAACCAGTGTTACTAGCTTGTAGGTAGCCATTGAGAATAATGGTTAGGTGTTTTGAGTCATCCAGTATTTTGCCTCAGATGGATAGATTTCACTGAGTTGGGTTTTTACTTGTAATCTCCTCTAGCATTGTAAAAATGTTACAAAACTTAATTGACTCTTTCTCACTTCCGTAGGGTGAACAGTATTTTACCTGACCAATATATGGCATGTAGATCCTGCATACCCTTTATAGAATCATCAGTGCTTTATTTTTCAGTCATTAATTTTTATCCTTTTTCTCAGGATCCTAGAAAACTTCTCTTCACAACTGGTAAGTTGTTATTCTTAGTCTTTTCTTTAGATTCAGAAACATCTTTAAAAGTAAGCATTATCAAATTATAATGGAAAATTTGCATACAAGAGTAAGTTTGTGTGGAGTTCAAAGATAACGTTGCAATGAGAACAGAGAGACAATGGAAACACTGGGGTGTGAATGAATGGAGGGTAAAAATAAGCAAATACATTTCACTGTCATATATTCTTCCAATCAAAACAATAGAAACTCATGCTTATGAAGGGCCTGCTTTGTGCCTGCTGCCGTAGTAATTGCTGTGGGAGATAAAGCACGTGGAACAGGCCCCTGCCCTTACTGTATTGGAAAGAAACACCAAGCACTGTGGGTATCCATATAGTTCTTATAATTCATTCATTTAGTGTAACATTTTATAATCTTAAAATCTACAACAAAGAGGAGAAACAGTCATTAAAATAAGTTATTTCTTTGAAATGTGTCTCCTATTTCATTTACAATTTATTTTACCTTTTCAAGCTTATTGTCCATGAAATCCCAGTCTAGACTGTTAATTTGTTAAAGTATGTTTAATCATCTTAGAACTTCCCCTGATGTTTAACAATTTTTACTAAAATTTTTCTTTTTCCAACCTTACATTTATAAAGATGAAAGATGCATTTGGAAAATTTTTAGCCCATATTTCAGGGACAAGGATGATTGCATAGTTGAGATGATCTATCATAAATTTTTGACTGTAATACCCAATTAAGTATTAGAATTGCATATAGGACTGAGGTGCATTAGCCTGTCAAATACATTGTTTTTCTTTTGAATCAATTTTATGATGAAAAATCACAATAATTCTAGTGCTTTTCCCATTCATGTCAAAGCTATATATTGAGATTTATAAAATATATTTTGCTTTTGCGTATAGATTTATTTATTTATTTATTTATTTATTTTGCTTATAGATTTATAATACTTGCCACTCATAAAGTATTTCACAATTTTCTCTTTAGGAACACAATTTACTTTTGCTTACAACTTTGCTCGTTGAAAACATGTTTTCATTTAAGCCAGAAGAATTGGATGAGAACAAAAGTACAGAAAAACAAAACCTTATGTATGAATCCATGTATTTTTTGGTTTAATGAGAGAAAAACAAAAACTTTGTTTAATATTATTTTCTAAAACATAAGTTTAATTGAAGCCTTGGAAACTTTAAAGTGCTTTAAAAAGTTTAAAAACTTTAGTTTACAAAGATACAAAAAGATTTGTTATCTGACTAAGATTACATTATGACACTTAGTATAATTAATACTTCTAATAAGCAGGTAATTTCTCTACCTAGTGTGCAACCTCATCATCCTGTGTTCTTTCCCAGAGGTCCCTGCGCATGGTGTTGGACTAAGTAGAGAAGACATTTAATACAAATTTTTTAGGTCTACCTTAGAGTGTCTCTGGGATAGACTTGGCAAAATGTTTTACTGACTTTCCCTGGTACCTCAGGAGCTGCTGTCCTGTCACTATTGAACACCTCATCATACTCTTGAGTATACAGTCTCACTAGTACCTGCCTTTTGTATTAGGTATTGTAAGTAATCTAGAGATAATTTAAATTATGTGAGAGGATATGCACAGGTTATGTATAAATACTTGAGCATTTTAAAACTTTGGTATCTTTGAGGCATCCTGGAACCAATCACATGGACACTGAAGGGTGACTGAAAATACTGTGTTGTAGAATAGCTTATTTCCTTACATATAATGTCTTTTCCACTTGTAGGTGAGCTTCTCTTGGGTTGGGAAGTGCTGCTTCTAGAATATGCAGGGTCTTAGGTAACATTTTTTATGGCCTCTGGCAATATAAACAATCTGACTCACCCAAATCAGCAAATTAGCAAGATTTTGGTGGCCCAGTTGTAACCGGCTATTTTCTTGGGTGCTAGTGACGCACAGCTCCCCCGAGAGAATGCTGTGGGTTCTTGGTCTCCAGTCTCTTAAAGAATAAGCGATGGGACCACTGCAGGTGTGCCGTAAGCTCATAAAAGTAAATATCGGACCCAAGAAGTGTTGTGGAAAGGTGATTATATTTAGGTAGAGAAAAGAGAAGAAGAGAAAGAGTTCCACATGAAGAGTGTGGAAGAGGATTCCAGAGGGGGAATCCAGAGGGGAAAGGGAGCTCCCATCATCTGGGATGGGATTCCAGAGAGCTGGAAATCCAGTGTCAGAGCAGGGGAATTTATCCTGGGAGAAATTCCCACCTTCCCAAGTTCCTCTGGCCAATGAAAGGAGTTTCTTTAAGCTTCCACTGGGGTGACTGACTCTTAGTTTCTTCCCGTGCCTGCAAAATTCAAACATAAACCGTTAAATCTCCTGGATGGAGAGAGATGGGAGGGGAGGCAATGGCACTGGGAATTCTTGCCCTTAAAACTACAACCCCTCATGGACCCGGAAAGCGAACACATTCCCTCACAGTCTCACATAATTTCAAGAAAGAAATGCTATGCTGGCCATCAGGAGGCATTCACTTCCCAGGTCATCAGCCTGGAGGTGGGGCTCAGACACAGGGCTCCGTAAGTGTGAGTCTGGAGCTCCTGAGGCATCTGTTTGTCCTCACTGATGAATAACAGGTCAGAGTGCAAAGTAGAGTCTAAGGATAGTAATGGGATGAAAGACACTGTTTTCTACAAATGAACTTAATCCAAATTTATATCACTAATACTGACTAAAACTATTTCACAGCCATTTCTGAATGTTCTCAGGCACAGCACCTAGGAAAAATTAAGTTTCTGATGAAGGAAAGCATGTTTGTTTTTAGGTGTTCTAGTGATAAAGAATATTTTTATTGGTTAATTGATTTCATGGAATATAGTTGGTTTAATGTTACATAGACTCTTTTATATCTTTGTATTGAAATTTTTTCAGTGGAATCCAGTACTGACAAATTAAGATTATCTTGTAGGAAAAGATTTTGGCTATAAAAGTGACACAAAATATGGTGGCTAAACTTACTACATAAGAAATGTTAAAAACATTCCAATTAAAGATTTATAAGATAAGATTAATAGATTGAATTATCTAAATGTTCATTTAAAAATGCTTACTACATATCTTCAAGTTTGGTAAGACCTTATATGGTGAGAATAAAACACATAATATCTAATTTTAATTTAAAAAACCCTTATAAGCAAATATGTTTCCAATTATTTTAGGAAAATAGGATAATGAACAGATAATGGTATATTTCTGACCACACCTGGGTATGAATGAAAATAATCTTTCAGGTTCATTTAGAAATTACAATGTCATGAAATTATTCATTTTAAAAGCTACTGATTACTAATTTAATATCCATAAACGTAAAGCCGTAAGAATAAACATATTAACAAGTGTTTTGCTAAGGAGACTAGTATTGGTTTGGCTTCCTAACTTGAAGGACTAAAAAAATTCACAGGAGAATCAAAGTACTTCACTTGGACGAGTAACTTTGCCCAGTGAGATTAGACTAGCCCAGTGATTTCCAGCCTGTGTTTGCAGATTCTTGGAATGTGTAGTAATAAGGTTAATATATTGGACTTAGCTGAGTTGTCAACCAAGGCTAGCTTGGTGCCCTTTGATGTGCCCTGAAAGCACTCAATGCTTAGCTCTCTTTAGAGCATTTAATGCCCTGTGTTGCAACTGCCTGCTTAACCTATCTGTCTCCGCCAGTGGACTGGGATTTTATTTATTTATTTTTTTTGTAGAGAAGAATTTATTTTATCTCTAGCATTTAACAGTACACTGTAGATGCCTACAAACCATTCACTGAGTGTGTAAAAGTCATTTGTTTAACGTTTTTATTTGATGCATAGATCTTCTCTGTAACATCCCAGATAATAGGTTAGCCAGCCTTTGCTTGTGTGTTTCCAGTGGGTTTCTTAAGGTAGTTACCCCTGACTTTTTGACCAGTCTGCCTATAGTCAACTTTTTTGCCCTTGCTACTAGTAAGTTCTTCATCGATCTGAAATCTGTTACTTTATTAATTATACACTTTGATCTTTTACTTTTGGGAAATAAAAAGGAGAACCATATTCTTTAGATAAAAGAGATAACTTTATAAATCTGAAGGAACATGGAAAATGATCATATTTATTTTCTTTAGTTTGCAGATGAGATTCAGTGAGATTGGAGTTTTGCCTAAGGGACAGTAACAAGAATGTAATCCCAGACCGTATACATCATTGGCTGGTTGTCTGGGGCTCCTACTTTGTCCTCAACTGACTAAAGTAAACTCTTTCATCTCCTCTAAGTCTTTCCATTATGTTTTCATGTTCTGACCTAAAAGGAATTCTCTGGTCTAATAAGTTTAAGAAAATATTTAAGCTTAATCAGATTTCTTGACTTTTACTACTTCTCAGAGACTTTTATACATCAGTGTACCCTGTGACTGTTTAAGGAATGGTTATAGCATTTTTGAGTAATAGAAATTAGCATTTCAAGGAATTGATTTTCAAATAATACAGCTTGGAAATTATGGCTCTATTCTAAACATATCCTGTTTTTTCAGGTGTTCTTTCAATGAAGTAATTTGCAGACATTCCGTGACTAATCTTGGCATTTTCAGAACCATGCAGGAAATTGTATTAAGACATAGAATGCTAATAAACACCCAATAAAATATTGGAATGGCCCTTCTAACTATAATTTTACACTGTGTAGCCATCCGAGATTCTATCATTTAGTTATTCTTTTGATCAAATAATGGTTTTCTTTTTTAACACCTGGAAACAGTGAGACTAATTTCTTCCTTTTACTCTCAAATTAATGAAATTATAATTGAAGTACACTAATTATACACATATAAAGTATGCAGTTTAATTTATTTTGATATATACATATATACACACATACACACTAGTGGAACCTTCACCAAAAGCTAGGTGATAAATATTTTTATTATCACAGAAGATTTTTGTGCTCTTTTGTAATGCATCCTTCCCTCTACCCCTCCTACTAATGGATCTGCTTTCTATTGCTGAAGAATAGTGTGAATTTTCTGGAATGTTATATAGAAGGAATCATAGAGTTTGTACTTTTTTGGGAGCTGGGGTGGTCTAGCTTCTTTTACTCAGTCTAATAATTTTGTGATTCATCTATGTAGTTGCTTATATATCAACAGTTTATGGTTTTTAAATGCCGATTTTCCAGACACAGATAGTACCACAACTGTTTATCTATTAATCTGTTGAAGAATATCAGAGTTGTTTATAGACTTTGACTGTTAAAAATAAGTAGCTATGAACATCCTTAAACAAGTCTTTGCATGGATATATGTTTGTGTTTCTTTTGGGTAAATACTTGGAATCACAATGACTGGATTAGTTTGCAGGCATGCTATTTTTCTAAAATAGTGTATTTTTCACGCTGCTAGTTCTTTAGAGTGAAGTAGGCTAGTTATCTTGCTCATCTCTTACTTATACAAAGTAAGCACTCACCTGAAGGAAATGGAAAAATCAATGGGTAAGGAAGTACTCTAGGAAGGAAACGTAGAGAAGAAATGATTTGGATTAGGTACATAAGGGAAGGGCTCCTTTTGCTAGGCTTCCAAAACTGTCTACTGGGAGAGTGAGGAGTGCACATACTCAAGGGCTAAGAATCTATAGACTAATTCTCTTATTTTTCATGTGGTGCTTTATAAGTGAAATTTGTTTCTACTGTACTGAGATTTCAAATGTTGTTATTTTCCAGTGATTCTATCTCTGGAATTCTGATGATGCACACCTGTGTTGCTCTTACGTTGTACCCAAGGTGTCTGCTTCTGCTGGTGACGCATAGTCCATGACAGCCCTTCTATTCCATAGCAGGTTCCTTGATAAGACAAGAAGCAGAGGAATGTCACTTTTCCAGGTGGAATTGTCCCAATATCGTTCGTTGTAGTCTGATTTAAAATTCTCTCAGCTGGGGTATTCAGGACTTACTGTTGCTTGTCAGTGTAAACAGATGTAACTTATTGACAGGATATTTAATTTTGTAGTAATATGATACTAAAGGAAACCATTAATACTTTAGCTATTTAGGATATGGTTTTTCAGTTAGCTATTCATTTTGGACATGCTATATGTGCTAATGATAGTTTTGTAGTAATCTATCCTGCCATTATAATTTTGACAGTATATTTGTACATTTTCTTTTTTGTTTGTTTTTTTTTAAAAAAAACTTTATCCCATATCTGTAGCACTGATTTCAGCATATTTTTCATACTAAGAAGAAATGTGTTTGCAAGTATTTTTAAAACACAACATTGTTGTTTATTCTAGAAATCTACAATTTTTTGTTCTGTGCCTTGTGGTTTTTGAAGACACTTTAGGCTTTGCTTATTTTCTGTTTAAAATTATTCTAGGTAGTGAAGCCTAAGAATAGTTAATTGAAATTGAAACTGAAGGCACTACTTAGTTTCGTAAAACAAAGGAGAGCATAAGGGAGATTTAGTACTATGGTGGCTAAAACCAAAACAGTAAGGGTGCTGAATGTTAACCCTGTCCTGTTGTGTTAATTACTGATATTTAGTATGTACCTTTAGAAGTAAGTACATATTTGCCATTGTGGATAGAATATTTGGGAATAAAAAAATATAATCTTCTGTAAAATAGATAAAAGACCCTGATTTTTCTTCAAGACTTTGAAACTGTGCTGATTTTATTAAGTTCTGGTGTTCTATACCACTGTAGAATGATTATAGTAAACAGTAATGTATTACATACTTTCAAATAGCTAGAAGAAGGATATGGAATATTCCCAACACAAAGTAATAATAAATGTTTGAGATGATGGATGGATATACTAATTAATCTAATCTGATCACTTTTACCTTGTATGTATGGAAACATCTCTATGTATTCCATAACTATGTACAGTTATTCTGTCAATTAAGAAAATTATTTTAAAAAATAGAAAAATAAAAGGCTTGTTTGAGGGACAACATATATGTAGATATGGGATTTGAATTCAGCTTCCCACAGAACAGCATAGTATTTTGGAGTCTAATATAATCATTTTTTGTACTTTTTTCTCACTATGATTTAAGTAAAAACGTACTTGTGTACATTCTTATAGTTCCTGGCCTGACAGGGGTCTGCATGGTAGTGGTACTGTTCCTCATGATCACAGCTTCTACATATGCAATAAGGTAAGTGTCAGAGTCAATTATTTTGATGTTTATTTGTCAGGTTATTTAGCAAAAGTCTTGAGTAACCAAAGTATTTAACCATTGTAGTGTCCTGGTTAATGAACTATTCTGGGTTACTAAGAGTGAAGTTTACTGTTTCTATATGTGATTTTTTCTTTTTGAAAATTATCTTTGCATTAGCAAATTTTCCGGATTGGTAAGAAATTATCTGCATTCATATTGATTCTGATAGTTAAGAGATTTTGAGCAAAATGAAGTATACATTATCAGGAACACTTTCACATGTCCTTTCTGATAGACATATTCAATTTTTCAGAATATTTGTAGTATCTATGTTTCTGAATAAAATTTTTACTTAAAGCAAAAAAGAAAAATGAGAAACATAACATATATTTCCTCTAATCTTCAAAAGTCTTAAGTTGTTCTACTTGTTGAAATGTGAAATTTAATAGAAATACCGAAATATATATGTATATATGCTTTGAAAATAATTGCCCAGTAACATACTTAAATGAATCTGTCCTTATACTTCTTAACATTTGTGCACACACATACACACACCCCAAAATTTCACGCAAGTATACTTACTAACCAAAGATTAATTCTGTACATATGTAGCGTCTTTTTATATGTTAAATCCTTCTTGTTCTTTTTCACTAATTCACCTCTCCCCAGATCATTCTTTGTCTCTCATGTACCTATGTATTTTACTGAAATAGGACCATATTAGAATACTATCTTTAATTTACTTTTAAACTGCATTTATGTTATGAACATTTTTCACATTAATAAATATTTTGTTATTATTCTCTTTAGTGATGGCACAGCACATCACCATATAGGTCTTTATACATTATTTTTCCAGACCCATCTTACTCTGTGTTTTCGGCAGATTTTAATTTTTTTGGTACTTCAGTTTTGAAACAAGCACCCCCATCGCTGTCTTTGCATACTTTTTCAATGATGTCCTAAGGAAAAATTCTTAGATGTGGGATAGCTGAGTCAAATTGTAAGAATACTTTTAAAGCTTTTCCTAAGAATGAAAAATTGGTTTACAGAAAGGCAACTCACTAACTTTAGTATACAAGAGTGCCAATTTTGTGGGGAGCAATTTTATTTTATTTAGATAGAGGCATCTTTTTTTTTTTTTTTTTAAATCTCACTTTTTCAATGTTAGGTGTTCTTGAAGGAAAATTAGAGCATCTGACATAGTTATTTTGAAATCCTTGAGGTATAGTTTTGTCAAATGGAAAAGATTAGCTTCTATTCTGAACTGAGCTTTTACACTTGCTCTCATAAACAATTTTAGCACTCCTTAATGTTCTGTGCTTTTTATGATTTATTATAATTTGTTTAAACAAGATTATAATATCTAGTTTGCTTTTCTGTAAGTGTTATTGTTAGATCCTTGAAATTCCTCAATGGATCATGAAGACAGATATCTCTTTTCTTTTACCTTTTCTTTTCCCATGGAGAAACTAAAGCATTAGACAAACCAAGTGAATAAATATGTCCCCAATGTTTGATTTCTGATGGTGAAATGTAGCCTCCCAATCCAAGGATAGTTCAATATAGATCAATCTATTAAAATAATTAATATATCCCATTATTAGATGACAGGAATACATATTCTCATCTCAATTGATTTTAAAATGGCAGTTACTAAATATTTTTAATTCTACCAATATTTACATACAGTAAAAAGTGAAACATTTGGAATTATTAGAAAAATGCAACAATAAATTACCATTATTTACAGAAAAGTAGATAGAATTCTTGAGAATTTTGAAAAAAACACCCCCAAGATATATCTCAAGATACAATTCCGGAATTATATCTACTCTTTCTGGAAATAATGGTAATTATTAGGTTTCTAAGAGAATCCAAGAGAATTTTGGAAAAATTTGATATTAACACCAGCAAAAAGAATTGAAAAAGGTAATTGAATATAAAACAAACATAAAAACAATCCTTCTGTATATTAGCTATAATCAGTTTGAAAAATTGAATAAAATAAAAATATATCACTCATAATTGCAGCAAAACATAAAATATCTAAAGACGAAACAAATATGTTCACTGAGAGATACGTAGAGATTTAAATAAAGGCTGTATACTATAAAGCATAGTTCTGCCTTTTAATTATTTTATTATTATTATTAATTTTTGACACAAGGTCTTTCTCTTTTATCCAGGCTGGAATGCAGTGGTGAGATTACAGCTCACTGCAGCCCCAACCTTGACCTCTCAGGCTCAAGTGATCTTCCCACTTCAGCCTCCCTATTAGCTAGGATCACGGGCACACACCGCCTGGCTAATTTTAATTTTGTATTTATTTTGTAAAGACAGGGTCTCAATATGTTGCCCAGGCTGGTCTTGAACTCCTGGGCTCAAGTACTCCTTCCACCTCTGCCTCTCAAAGTGTTGGATTACAGACGTTAGCCACCATGGCTGAATCCTCAGTTCTTTTTTTTTTTTTAGGAGTGTTGCAATGTCAGTAACATTCTCAGACAGGTTATTTTGCTTGTTTTTTTAATTTAGCAAAGTGATTCCAAAGTTCATTTGAGGGCACATCCAAGTACATATTTCAAAAGAGGAGTAAAAGGAGGGATGAACCTTACTAAACATTAAAATGATTAAACTTCAGTAACTTAAAAGAGAGTAGAAATTAACTTGCAAAAATGACCAACACATTGAACCAAGGGGCAAAGTCAGTAAAAAGCCCTGTAAATGACCTTACTGTATATAAGAACCTGCTAGATAATAAAGGTGACATTACAAGCTTATGAGGAAAGTAAAGTTTAAGCAAATGTAGGTCTAGATAAATTACACATATTAATTAAAAATCCTCCATAGAAATGGGTAATGATTAAGAACAGAAAGGTCACCAAAGAATTAAAAGTGAATAATACACATATGAAATAATACCCCATCCTACTTATAAAAAATAATGAAAACATAATATTTGGTCTGAGTTTTGGGATATAGACACTCCTACTCTATGGTTGGGTTTGTAATTAATAAATATATTTTTAGAGAGCAATGGGCAGTGTGTATTAAAAGCATTACAAATGTGTATCTCTTAATCTTACAATTCAACTTCTAATAGTTTTGATTAAAAAAAGGATCAGAATTTTATATATATTGTAATGGGCAGTAGTGATATTGTTTATGATAGCAAATACTATACGTGGAGAAAATGTGAAGCAGTTTCCTGCTGCTTAAATAAAGGTTTCTCTAAGAGTCTAGGGGAAGTATCAGAACCATATAGGAAGCTTTTGTAAGTATCTGCCCTCTACTTCCAAGATTGTAATATATAAAATCCACTCTAGACATATGAAATAAAATAACTGTTACTGTTTTACTTCTCTCAAACATTCCTTAGATTATGCTTCTCATTCCCTTTCTTTTCAGAGTATTTGTCCTCCCCCAGAGCAATAACATCAAGGTATCATTCTTGTTACACTGTCCAGGGAAAAATACAATACTTTGATTATCATTTATTTTAATTTTTCCCTTTTTATGTCTTCCTTAATACTCTCAAAATATATATTGAAAGAGGAACATTGTTTATTTTTTGGAAATTATTTGAAAATTGAGAATATTGATAAAATAAAAGCCAAGGTACATGTTAGCAGACTACTATCTGATTCTTAGCCTTATATTATAATAACTTGAAAATAAACATTTCCATGTGATAAAGTCTTACTCATAATTTTTGTCAGTTCTCTCTATGTGATGTGTTAATACTTTGGTATTAATAGATAAATATCAGATGTATTCATATGTTAGCTTTCTAAAATTGTGAGATATGTTTGAAATGATACATGATATTTTTGATATTTTTAGTAAGATAGAATGTAAAGTCGCATTAAAATGAATTTATTTGTTTTTGCAGAGTTTCTAACTATGATATCTTCTGGTATACTCATAACCTCTTCTTTGTCTTCTACATGCTGCTGATGTTGCATGTTTCAGGGTAAGTTTTAAAATAAATGTATTTAAAACCATTTGTGCCCCAAAATGGGGTAATGAAAGACAACTCTATAGGAAGTTTCACAGGAAGTGGTAAAAGTGTCAAGAGTGGAATAAATCATTTCTCTACTGTTCAGGATAGTATCAAGAATGGAAGAAATAGTTCTATTTTTAGCATAGCATATTTTAATGAAACTAATATAAAGTATATTAAATTTAAAACTTAGAGTTACGTCTCCCACAACCTTTAAGTTTCTAAAGCTTCTATGGATATATCCTAATATCTTCTAAAGGAAAAATTTTCAGAATGAAGAACATCGGGAAGATATTTTAGTACTTGTATTTCCTGAAACTGTCCTGTTAAGGCAAGATTTTTAACAATGGAATTTCCGGTTTTTCGTTTTGAAAGTTCTATAGGATGTAATACTTGCAGAGAGAGGCAGAGATTTAAAATGACCAAAGAGAATGATCTGTGAAAATCACTAAATGAAAAAAAAATCATGAAGTGAAAAAAGACCGTATCCTAAGCTTATTACAAACAGTATACTTAAAGTATTCTGAAAGTATGTGTAGCGAAGCAGTACACTCAAAAGCATGGTGCTTAAAACAGTACATGAATGTAGATGAAGAGCATAATGTGTTTTTATATATGCCTGTGTCTGTATGGCCACCAGCAGTAACTAGGTGGCTTTGGCTTGACATTCACACTTGCATGACATGATAGGCCTGGCAGCGGGTTTACTTGGTTTAGCAGGATACAGGGCAGGAAACACAGAATGTCAACAGGATGATATCAGGTGCTTATTCGGTACGAGTCCCTTTAAGGGCTCAGGAAAGATTTACTTCCTTCCTTTGTGTTGCAACTCTGTTTTAAGATGAGGAAACCATGTGGGTAGGCATGGACCACCTTGCATTGAGTAAGGCTCATTCATACTCCTCAGGAACCTGTATCTTGGGAACAGCAGATGTTCCCTCAAGGGATGCCCTTGGGAACAAGAACACACTGTACACAAGGAGGCTGAGGTCTGAGAGTCCCAAAATGATTGTATAGTTTAATCACAGTCCTTTTGGTCCGGATGCATTTCACCAATAATAAACAATGTTGCTGGTGACAGAGGTGACATTCCCTATTTTTCTTAACCTGAAGTATTTCCAGAGGAATGATTTGAAGAAAGGTTCAGATCTTTGTTTAGTTCTTTCTTCCGAATGTTTTTTAATGTAATTTATTTACTACAGTGGGTCGTTTGCATAGATCATGTATTTATTTCAAGGTGCATGTTCAAAATGTTGCTTTACTTTTTTTTTCCCTCTGATTTTGGAGACTGCTGGTTAAGACAGCAGTATCAAATGGCTTTATCCCATATGTCCTGGTTAGCTTTGTTCAGCACCGTGGTTCTAGAAGACGTAGTTGTAGAGCATTGGAAACATAGCCACACATTATAATTCATTCTCTGAAGCCTCAGGGCACCAAGAAAGCCCTTGATAGAGAAGAGTCTGCTTTATATTCTGCTCTTTAAATGGCTTGGCTGTGCTCCTTAAGTGGACTATGAATAACCAGATACTACTAATGATAACAACAGTAATTTGAAATAGTTACATAATGCTTACTATACGCTAAGTATAAATTCAAAATGCTTTAGATACTTTATGTTATCAAATGCTCAGAATTTTATGAGAATAAATAACATTGAGAAACCTCTTTCAGAGGTGGAAACACTGATGTTTAGAAAGATTAAGTAGCTTGTTGAAGTTTACTTAACTGATGGATCCTAGATTGAAACCTAGGCATTGTGATTCAGAAACTCCTAAGTTTTTACTACAAGGCTGTGTTTTTTTGGAGAGTTCTGTACTTGTTAGAATTTGAACTTAATATTTGTTTAAATGCCTTTATTTGTGATCTTTAATTGTGATCTGTCTATCCATCTGTGTATCTATCTATATCAGATAGATATAGAAAAGAAAAATGCAGTCATTTATTAGTGTAATTAATTATATATTCTTTTGCCTTTATGTTGTGCGAAATTAAAACTCTGAAAAAAACTATTTCTTCATAAATCAAAATAGAGTCAGTTTTTTTAAAGGATCAGCAATTCAAACAGACTTCTTTTTAAAGAGGAAGATTACATTGAGAGTTCTTTTCTTTACATTTTTTGAAGTAAAAGGAATGCATATTTAAATTTTGATTTTACTTTCGTAGGAAAAGAGTCAAAGTTAAACAGACACTTTGTCAAAATTAAAGAGACAGTGATTTTAATTTATGCAGAGAAATAATAGGCATTCTATAGGATGAATTATATAATCAATCAATTATTAATCTAAATGAATCGGTTTTTATTATAGGAGAAATGAAGAAAGCAGTTATTCTGATTCTGAAACATGTGATGCAACCCATACATAATACATTAAGGATTCTACAGTGGACATTTTTTTCAGGAAATTTAATTTTTAAAAAAGCAACATAGATACGCTTCTGGAATGAGAAATGTTACTACCGATCATTTTACAATTTTCTGAAAATAAAAAAAAATACACTGTATTGATAAAGGATTGGCTTATAATTCAGTCTATTTATTTGTGCAAATGTTGGAAACAGAGGTATCTTTACTTCTGAAATGCCTAGATAACTTTCTTCTTCAGCTTTTGATTATACAAGTAAAGTACGGTTGTTCCAAGTAAATTTCTTGGATTTATATTGAAATTTCTGTTCAACAGTATGCTTTAAATCTGAACAGAAAATCACGATTTGCTTAGCATTAACTTCTCTAACAATGTACTTAGTACCATAAGGTAAAGAAGAGCAATATATCGCATGCTCTCTAGTCTTTCAGCACTGATCACTGATTTGGAATTTTGAAAAAGAAAAGCTAGGCATATTATAAAACTGCATATTTAAAAAATGTAAACATCTGTGTTTTATTTACATAAATGCTAACAATTCAGACAATTGAAGGATCAATGTGAGCTAGAAATTTTAGAAAATATTAGGCTTCAAGGACAAGGTGATTAGACATTGTTGACTGTTTTTTTTCTTTTTTTTTTTTTTGAGACGGAGTTTCCCTCTTGTTACCCAGGCTGGAGTGCAATGGCGCGATCTCGGCTCACCGCAACCTCCGCCTCCTGGGTTCAGGCAATTCTCCTGCCTCAGCCTCCTGAGTAGCTGGAATTACAGGCACGCGCCACCATGCCCAGCTGATTTTTTGTAGTTTTAGTAGAGACGGGGTTTCACCGTGTTGACCAGGATGGTCTCGATCTTTTGACCTTGTGATCCACCCGCCTCGGCCTCCCAAAGTGCTGGGATTACAGGCGTGAGCCACCGCGCCCGGCCCCGGTTTTTCTTTTATAGTAAGAGAAGTTGCTTCATATGATTGTCTAAGGTCATTTTTTTCATAGAATCTTAAATTTTAAAGGAATCTTAAAATATATCTTGATGAAACCTCTTTTAAGCTTCTCGACAATATATGTACTAAGTCAATGCCTAATTTTGAAGATGTCCATTCTGTCTTAGGGGAAGTTCTAATTCTCACAATGTTCTTTCTTTTTTTGGCTAGAATTATTTTACTGTAATTTTTGTCTAGTTCTTTAAAAGCCTGTGATTCTGGAGGCCGTGGGAATTGAGTCCCCCACTTTTCTAAATTCTATTCATCTGTTTCTTTGAATTACTAACAATTAATATTAATTGAATGCTTTTCTTTTACTAACATTTGCTCTCATTAAATCCTCCTAACAACCCTGTAATTTATTATTATTATTATTGTTATTCTGAATGTTCAGCTGAGAGTATAGGAGCAGTAAGAGATAAGATAAGTTACGAGTGTCATGGCAGGTAAGTAGATTTCCAGTTCAAACCCAAGTATCAGGTGCCAGACTCACATTCTTAACCACTAAATTATGCTGGCCCCCATCTGGCAACACTTCTCTGTATCCATTTTAAAACTGTAAACCAAACTAAGTGTTGTTAGAATAGGTGATCTGATATTGGCAGAGTGAAAGTCTCACTTTCTTTGTTACAAATATTGCAATCACTATTATTTAGGACCCCATTTTTTTGTATCATGATTAACAGTGCGCTTGGCCTAACCTGGTTTTCATTCTTGTTGTCTATTTTAGCAATTCTCTTTATTATTTATAAATATATCAGTTGCATGCCACTCTAAAATGATAACATTTCATGTATACTCAATTGAGATGTTCTTTTTAGTGTTAAAATGCATCTTTAAAATACATTAATTTTCTTCTCCAAGTTGTTATTAATAGCATAGTGGTTAAAAGATACATCACTTAATACCTGTGCAAACTTGGCAGATAATTTGACCTTTCATTTTGTTATCTATTAAGTGGGATTAATAAAATCACTTACACCATAAAGTTGTCGGGTTTAAATAAGGAAATGCAGCAAAGTAGGCAGAATATAGACAAACTCAATAAATGTTAGCAAAAAAATATATACTCTTACCAATATTAATAGCTTTGTAAGAAAGAAACTCCACATTTAACTGTTTGAAAAATCAGGGTTTTTTTTTTGTTTTTTTTTTTTTTGTTAAGAATATCGTTCATAGATTACCAAACGTTGAAACACTTTGCATTGCCATAAATAAACAATTGGTTGCCATTTTTTTTTTTTTTTTTTGATAAAGATACAACAGTGTTGAAAAACGCAGATCCCAGATTTTCTTATCAGCAAAGTAATTTGATGAACATATAGTGAAAACTGCTTAGCAGCTCAAAAGAATATTCCTTGATATGGCAACAATTATTATAACATTCTAAGGCCTCTAAAATTTTATTGATTTTTAGCAATAAAGTTTTATCTTTGTAAAAGAAGCCTTCCTACGGAGGAATTTTTGCTTTTAATTTTTAGTATACCATTTTAGGAGGTTGCTCTTGGTGTGCTGCATTAAAGATACCCAATTCCTAAGACACCTGGTGAAAACAAAACAAAACAAAACCATTTCCTCTTTCCAAACATGTATACAGCTGGATATTTCTTTCTTCATTTTTTTTTTT